CATTCATTATCAGTGGGAAATAGGCCAATGGTGGGGTGATAGGAGTTACTATAGAGAACTTTCTGGGTGTCTGGCTGATGAGTCTTGCCCACATGCTCAGGGTTTAGCTGATCGCCATATTTGGGGTCGGGAAGGAATTTTCCTCCAGGGTAGATTGGCAGAGGCCCTGGAGGTTTTTCGCCTTCCTCTGTAGCATGGGGTACAGATCACAGCTAGAGGATCTCTGCATCTTGGGGTCTTCAAAGTATTTGAAGGCTTCAATATCTGAGATATAGGTGAGAGGATTATTCTAGTAGGGGTGGGTGAGATTTTGTGGCCTGCACTGTGCAGGGGGTCAGACTAGATGATCATAATGGTCCCTTCTGACCTTGGAGTCTGAGTCTATAAGGGTGATGTTCACCGGTTAATTGGTTAACTTTTCACATCTCTAGTTCCTGCTTGCCTAAGGACAGATTCCAAGCCATGAACAGCCTGGTAAAACAAAATCCACCACATACCAGGTCTTTGTATTTTTTTTTTCTGTCAGTTAGCTCATCTGCTTCCCCTAGATAGGATGTGGGACCATGTCACTGAAGCATAGGGAACCTCACTAGTTTCTTTTTAAAGAAGTACATGTATAGGGCAGCAGCCTCCATTTTTCCCGTGAGTACTGATCCCTATGTGTATTCCATGCATGAGTGACAGATAAGCAGCATGCACAAGTGCAGGAGTGCGGGTGGATGTTGAGATGCAGATGCTATAGATGTCTGTAATTCTACAGAAGAGGCTTGGACTAAAGCCTAATGCTTCGTGAAGATGTAAGCAACCTAGAGTTCCATCTATAACTTGTATTTCTTTGAGCTGTGCTGTCCCTATTTTTATTCCACTACCTGTCCTCCTCTTCTGCTTCGGATCATTCCTGGATTCACTGGAGAAAAGGAACTGGAGATGTGGTCGGTCCACACCACCCCTTTCAAGCTTAGTATTAAGTATAATGAGCAACATGGCACAGGGTTGGAGCAACAGATAGTACTTACTAGTTCGCTGATCTCAGGTGCATGGATCAAATGCATACCCACATGTGTAATACAGATAGGGACCTCACATCTTGAAGAACCTTCATTTATGGGTAACTAACCTCCATAAGTATCAGGTTGTCATCCTTTGATGTGGCAAATCACTAGTGGGGAGGTGAAATAGCTGGTGATAATGGAATTCACATATATTTGTTAACTTTGTTTCCCTCCAAGCCTGATCCTTTCCTTGCACCCACCATGTTTATCTGTCCTCTCTTTTCTGTTTACTCCCCTGCCCAGCTAGCCAATTCAATCTCCTTGCCCAGCCAATCCTAGTTTACTTGTCTGGACTCCCTAAGCTCCTCAAACCAATTCAATTTCTTTCCTCCACCCACTATATCCTAGGCTCTCATCCCAGCCCTATTCTGCCCAGGCCTTTGAGGTCAGTTTCCAGTCTATCACTTTCCAGTTACTTATCCAATCTGTCTGACTCCTACTCTGCTCCCCCATTTTTTCATATTTCCATTGCGGTTCCAGGATCTTTGGTAAGCCAGTCCCTTTTTTTGCCTCCTAACAAGATTTGGCTTTTGCCCTCTCTGAATATGATCCATGCACCTCCTTCCAAGAAGATTTTCTACAAATATATTAGAAGCAAGAGGGAGACCAAGGACAGGGTAGGCCCCACTACTCAATGAAGAAGAAAAACAATAACCGAAAATGTGGAAATGGGAGAGGTGCTTAACAATGTCTTTGTTTTGGTTGTCAGCAAGAAGGTTGGTGGTGATTGGATGCCTACAGTAGTGAATGTTGGAGAAAAGGAGATAGAAAAAGAACAAGTTAAAAATTACTTTAAAAAGTTAGAAGTCTTCAAGTCATCAGGGCCTGATGAAATGCATCCTAGAATACTCAAGGAGCTGATTGAGGTGGTATCTGAGCCATTAGCTATCGTCTTTGGAAAAGTCATGGAAGATGGGAGAGATTCTTGAAGACTGGAAAAGGGCAAATATAGTGCCCATCTATAAAAAGGGAGATAAGAACAACCCAGGAAACTATAGACTAGTTAGCTTAACTTCTGTGCCAGGAAGGATAATGGAGCAAACAATGAAGGAATCCATCTGCAAACATCTGCAAGATAATAAGGTGATAAGTATCAGCCAGCATGGATTTGTAAAGAACAAATCATGTAAAACCAACAGAATAACTTTCTTTGATAGGATAACAAGTCTTCTGCGTAAGGATGAAGTATATGTATTATATTTAGACTTCAGTAAAGCATTTGATATAAGGATGTTAAGGACTATTTGATTAATTGACTATCCGATAAGTAAATGCTTATCGGCCAGTCCAGTTGACTAGTCGCTCTCTCCCCATCCCCCCTTGCTGCCTCTGTCACATAGGGGCAGCAAGGGGTGGGAAGAGAGGATACTTCAAAGCTGTAGTGCTGCACGGAGCCTGGGGTACCGGCTCCGTGTGGTGCTGCTGCTTTGAAACACCGCGGCGTTTCAAAGCAGCAGCGCTGTGTGGAGCCCGGGGTCAGCGAGGGACTCTGAGTCCCACGCTGACCCCAGGCTCCATGCGAGTACTTCTGCATTGAAATGCACAAGAGCCCCTGCTGGGAACTCTTGTACATCTCAAAGCTGCTGCACCGTGTGCAGCCTGGGGCCAATGGGAAGTCCTGCTGACTCTGGGCTCCACGCAGGCACTTCCACTTTAAAATTCACAAGTACCCTAAGTGGAAGCACCTGCGTAGAGCCTGGAGTCAGCGGGACGTCCCGCTGGCCCAGGCTGAACGCAGCTTTTGTACATTTCAAAGGAGGAATGCGGAAATGCCTATCGACTAGTTGAGTAGCGGATGGAAATTTCATTGACTATTTGACTAGTAAATTAATTGATATTTAACATCCTTAATTTGATACATTCTCATAATCTCTTATCAATAAACTAGGAAAATACAATGTAGATGTGGCAAGAATATAAGAACGTCCATACTGAGTCAGACCAAAGGTCCATCTAGCCTAGTATCCTGTCTAACAGTAGTGAATACAAGATGTCCCAGAGGGAGGGATCACAACAGGTAATCCTCATGAGATCGCTCCCCTGTCGCACACCTCCAGTGAAACAGAGGCTAAGAATAACCATTCCTACCCATCCTGGCTAATGGCCATTGATGGAGCAAACCTACATGAATCTATCTAGCTCTTTTTTGAAAAATTCTAGCCGTCACTGCATCATCTGGCAAGGAGTTCACTCAGCACACAGTCAACCTGTGGAAGAAAAACTTTTGTTTCTTTTGAACTTGATAAGAGCTACTATAAGGTGGTGCATAACTGTGTTGGATAGCCAGTCCCAGGGTATGTCTACACTACCCCGCTAGTTCGAACTAGCGGGGTAGTGTAGACATACCCTGGGACTGGCTATCCAACACAGTTATGCACCACCTTATAGTAGCTCTTATCAAGTTCAAAAGAAACAAAAGTTTTTCTTCCACAGGTTGACTGTGTGCTGAGTGAACTCCTTGCCAGATGATGCAGTGACGGCTAGAATTTTTCAAAAAAGAGCTAGATAGATTCATGTAGGTTTGCTCCATCAATGGCCATTAGCCAGGATGGGTAGGAATGGTTATTCTTAGCCTCTGTTTCACTGGAGGTGTGCGACAGGGGAGCGATCTCATGAGGATTACCTGTTGTGATCCCTCCCTCTGGGACATCTTGTATTCACTACTGTTAGACAGGATACTAGGCTAGATGGACCTTTGGTCTGACTCAGTATGGACGTTCTTATATTCTTGCCACATCTACATTGTATTTTCCTAGTTTATTGATAAGAGATTATGAGAATGTATCAAATTAAGGATGTTAAATATCAATTAATTTACTAGTCAAATAGTCAATGAAATTTCCATCCGCTACTCAACTAGTCGATAGGCATTTCCGCATTCCTCCTTTGAAATGTACAAAAGCTGCGTTCAGCCTGGGCCAGCGGGACGTCCCGCTGACTCCAGGCTCTACGCAGCTATTGTTCACAGTTTAATGGGGTTAAGGACCAGAGCAATGCTGGGTAAATCTTTTAGTTTTACATATAGCATGAATACAATTCACACTTTTACTTTGATCACCAGTGTGTCACCAGTCTATATATGCCTTACATGGTACCTTTTTAGACAGAGATTATGACAACAGTGAGTTATAGTACACTGGGCTGGTCAGGCCAGCTGAAACTCACTATTTAGGTATCAGGAAGCCTCTTGCCTTCTGGCATTGGGATGCTCTCAGGGTCACACTTATCATGACACCTGAGCTAAGATTCTGTTGTTGTCTCCCTCTCCCCCCCCATGGGCCCCCCCCCCAGGGCTAACCCTGGCAAACCACCGCTGTCTTCTTGTCCACCCCTGGTGTAAGGGCTTTAGCCCTAAAGGGGGTTTTCAGGGTGGAAGCTCTGTGCTGCAGCAAGTGCTGTCCCAGAGGGCAGGTTGTACATGTCTTGTGACTCTTGAACTTCTCAAGTTTATCTCATGCAGCTAGGAGCATCAGTAAGTTTGGCCATTCCTATGCTGTAGTGATGCACTAGGAATCTTGGCTACACTCTTCAAGGTTCACCAAGGAACTACAGAATACTATGCAAGACTAGCCCTTTGAGATCAATCATCTGAACTAGAAGACAGATAAGTTGTTGAATTCACTAAAATATTCTAGGGCTACCCTCCGTTCCCTGGGTTCTGAATACACAAGTCCTGAAAAGGAAGAACCATAAGTAGTCTAACAAGCTAAGGTCTTCATATAGCCATTCTGCTATCAGCACTCGTATGAACCACCTCACAAACAGCAAAAGGTACAAAAATTGAGAAACACTTCCCCTTCTATCTCTACTGTAGCTACTCAGCCTCACCCCAAACTAACAGATACTTTTGATGGGACACTCAGGGTGCAAACCAAGGTTGATACCATCTGCACCTGACTTGGAGTTCTGCTTTGGTGAATGCCTAGCAGTTTCCCTCCAAAATGGAGGGCAATAGCTGGCAAATGGATGCTGGATATCATCCATTCTGGCTGTACTTTCAGGTTCTTCGAGTGATCCGCATGGGTGCTCCACGTGTTGGGCTCATCCCGGCACCGCTTGTCGGAGGCTTTTCATAGCTGTAGTTGGCTGTGCCGTGCCTGCACAGTAGCCGTCGCACGCCATCGCGCCCTTTCTCTCGTTGCGCGGTCCAGCCCCTCGCTAGTTCCTCTCAACCGTCCTCAGTTGCTGATGTAACTCCGTTGTCTCTCCTCAGAGACTACTCCATTGTACAAACAAAGTTAAAAGTTCATTAGGTTTTCTTAGTGTCTTACTTTAGTTAGTTAATACTTAGTAGTTTAGCCGTATTTATAAAAAAAAAATTAACATTAGAGCGTTTGTTAGTTAAACCAGTTACTGTTCTTAGTTCTAGTTATTAGTTGTTCGAACATGTGCTGAATTGGGAGCTAAAATGCCTGGTTCACCAGGTTTTAAAAAGTGCTCCCAGTGCAAAGACGCTATGCTAGCATCTGATGCACTACGCTTCAGATTGGCAGAGACCATGAGGGGTTTTTATCTTTCTGTACAGCAAGATGAGTCTTGGGTCACTTGCAGGTTTAAACTGGTGTAAATGGTAAATTCCCTGTAACTTTATTTCTTTAAATCATGATTTGAAGACATCAGTAACTCAGCCAGAGACTAGCACTCTATTACACAAGTGCATAGGTAAGATTCTGTGGCCTGCAATGTGCAGAATGTCAGATGGGATGATCATAAAATTCTGATCTGATCTGATCTTAAAATTTTAATGTAGTGTATGTAATATATGCTCCCTTACTGGTTCTTGTGATATGTGCAGCCATCTCTTTTTCTTTTGTGGTGGTACTTAATGCTGTATTTAGAATTTTCTTCGAAAAGGCATATTTCAGAGAATATTTTTCAGATCACCTTCTTGTGGCAGGATATCCTAAAAGGATTCTTTATGGTACAATAGGAACTTCTCTGACTCACTTCAGCTATGCGACAGATTGTTTGAATTTAGCATATTGAAACTATTGTTTCATCTTATGGACCCCACAGAGAATGAAAACCAAAAGTTCAAAATGATGACCCTTACAATGGAACGCAAGTCTTAGCACACAAATATGAAGTCTTTATTTAAAGAGCAGATGTGTTTAAAAGATGTGCTATTGTATTCAGTCAGAAATTATCAGGTTTGATGTAGGAGGAATTCTTGAGTGAAATTCTGTAATGTGTTATGTGGCAGGTCAGAGTAAATGACCACTAATGGTCATGGTCCCTTTTGACCTTAAAATGTGTTAATCTTTGAATAGGCAGCACTGTGTAGGGTTTTTTTTAAGTCATTGGCACATTGCTAGAGAGAATTGGTTTACCTGGGGCAATCTTAAAATAGAATTTATATCGGTAGGTTAATGATATATGTTGGATATCTTCTCTGGAATGGAGAAATGCATTTAAGTTATCAGATTTTGAAGAATTATCAACAATGGTGGGAAATATCAATGATAAAGTTGGCTCTGTTTAGGACAAAGGAAATATATTAAATCTGTAAATTATTTTCTCCAATGCCAAAACAGTTGAAATGTTACAAAATTTTAGGAGACAAGTCAAGAGAAATGATTGTGGTTTGCATAAGTAATGAGAGGGGTTATTTTGTACAGTATCTGAGGAAATTCAGCATTTAAATTGAGTTTGCCTTCAAATTGAGATTGTTGGTAAGGTGAGTATTTTGGAAAAGAATTTAATGCATAGGCAAAATGATTAATGCCTATGCTGCAAGAAGCAACAGACTTGTTCCTTTATAAAATGCTCTAGAAAATACTTGATTATTTTCCATGACACTGCTTGGTAAAAGAAGGGATAAGCAATTAACTGTGTCGCATATCATCTTACCTTGATTTTGTCTTTCCAGCAGATTGCCAAATTGAGGCAGCAGCTACAACGCAGCAAACAGAGCAGTCGTCACAATAAAGAAAAAGAACGTCAGTCACCGCTCCATGGCAACCATATAGCAATCAGTCAGACTCAGGTAAGCAGCTCATTGCCTGTATCAGCAACCTTTTTTTTTTTTTTTTTTTTTTAAACAGAGTTAAGTGTATAGTTTCTTTGATTCCCTCCCTGTATTTTGTCATGTTTAAATGCTTAACACGGGTCTTGTCTACACTGAGAGGTAAAGTGAAATTTATTAAGGTGGATTTTCTAGCATCCGATTTTGTAAAGTTTAAGGTGCATGTTCCCATTGTGCAAGAATTTGATGCTGTACATCCCCAATAGGGTGGTTACCATTGACTTTCAAAATGATGCACTATGTGTAACTGTCCCACAGTTCCTGCTGCCACTTTGAATTCTGGGTTATGCTTCTAGTGCGTACTAGTGCAGCAGGTGCATCTGGGTACATGTCATTAGCATCCCATATTACACTTGTTTCCTCCCTCCCCCCTGCTTGAAAGCAATAGCATACAGTCTTTTTGTGCCCTTTTTTCCTTCATTATCTGTGGAGAAACCATGGCAGGGTGAGCATGGAACCCATTCAGCACCAAAGTATTATGGCAATCAGATTAACCATTGTCAGCCTTGTGCTTGTATATATTCAGAAGACTCTTAGGAGGCCATGAACATACTCTTCTGTGAAGCTCTTGAGTTGAGCCGCCAACATTCAATCTTCTTGACACAATGGAACACCAGTTCTGGTGCCATCAGACAAGTACAGATTTGTGGAACTGTGTACTTATGCAGCTATGGGACAATCAGCAACAGCTGCAAAACTTTTGCATGCATAAGACCACTTTCATGGAAGCTTGTGAATTGTTTTTCCATGTCCTGAAGCACAGGAATACCAGAATGAGACCTGCTCTGACAGTTGAGAAGTGAGTGGCAATAGTCCTGGGGAAGCTTGCAACGCTAGACAACTACTAGTTGGTTGGTAATCAGTTCAGAGTGGGGAAATCTACAGTTTGGGCGATTGTGATCCAAGTATCCAATGCAATCAATATGCTTCTGCTTTGAAGGATAGTGACTCTGGGAAATATGGAGGACATAGTGAAGTGATTTGCCACAATGGGGTTCCCTAACTGTGGTGGAGCAATAATGGAAGTCACATCCCTATCTTGGAACCTGCTCACCTTGCCAATGATCAAGTATCAGAGGGGTAGCCGTGTTAGTCTGAATCTGCAAAAGCGGCGAGGAGTCCTGTGGCACCTTATAGACTAACTGAAGTGTAGGAGCATAAGCTTTCGTGGGCAAAGACCCACTTCATCAGATGCATCTGACGAAGTGGGTCTTTGCCCATGAAAGCTTATGCTTCTACACTTCAGTTAGTCTATAAGGTGCCACAGGATTCCTCGCTGCTTTTGCCCACCTTTAGAAGTGTAGGAGCATAAGCTTTCGTGGGCAAAGACCCACTTCATCAGATGCATCTGACGAAGTGGGTCTTTGCCCATGAAAGCTTATGCTTCTACACTTCAGTTAGTCTATAAGGTGCCACAGGACTCCTCGCCGCTCTTGCCAATGAGTACATAACTTGCAAGGAGTACTTCTTGATAGTTCTGCAGGCACTGGCGGATCTAGGGCCCCTGGGAGAGGCGGCTATGGAACTTGGTGAAGAAGGAATGTGCGGCTGCAAGGGCTGAAGGAGATGCCTGTGTATGTGGCTGTCCTGGATGTCTGCCATGCGCATCCACCATGACTCTCCTGGTTCTTCACGTTTCCTGCATGCACAAGGGAGCACCACGGGACACAGCCCAGCCTCTCCAGCTCTGACGGACGGCGCACTGGCCTGTCAAGCACCAGGGGGGGACACGTCTCATGGACCAGACAGGCCTAGCCCAGCCTCTCCAGCCCTGGAGCACCAGGAGAGGGAGGAGAGCATGCTATGCAGCCCTGCCTGGCCTCTCCAGCCCCAGAGGACTGGGGAAGGGAGGGCACCCGCATGACCTGTCCCAGCCTCTCCAGCACCGGGCGGGTGGGTGCTGGGGACAGCAACACACTGCCCCCACAACGCCTACATCAGGCATCCTGTGTTTGAAGTGTGGATGGGGCTAGGCTGGCAGTTTGGGAAGGCAGAGCCTTCCCTTGCCTTACACACTGGATGCCCGTGCAGAACAATCACAGCAGCGTACTGTGGGACACCTCACTGAGGCCAAGAATGTCAACATTCACAGCGCTGCCTCTGTACTACCTTAAAATTCGAGCATGCAAAGTTGAATTGACTCTTTTTCCTCATGAAAAACAGGAGTATCAAAATCGATTTTAATTGACTCATTGTTTAGAAAATTGACCTAATGCAGAGTTTGACCTAAACTCAGTGTAGATCAGGCCCCAGATTCATGTCATAGGTGCTAAAATGGTTTATATCCCAGTCAGAATCATACTAAAAAAGAAAATTGTGCCAAGAAAGCAACCAATGCCTTTTGTAAATGTTTGAAAGATACCTTTTAAAAATTCTTCTAAAAAATACCCCTTCAGTCGGACATTACAGGGACAAAAGGCTTTATTGATTAAGCTAACTACTTGTTAGCTCCTTATATCCATCTGACCCCATGCCAGATAACATACTGGGAATTCATGCTCTCTCTCACCTCCTAGGAATACCACTGCCACCAGTTCAGCAGCAGAGTTCTGTGAGGGCAAGCAGCTCTAGCCTATCCTAAATAATGGCATAGACAAGTATGCCTATGGAGTTTGCAGATGATACCAAGCTGGGAGGGGTTGCAAATGCTTTGGAGGATAGGGTCATAATTCAAAATGATCTGGACAATCAGAAGAAATGGTCTGAGGTAAATAGAATGATATTTAGAAAGGACAAATGCAAAGTACTTCACTTAGGAAGGAATTCAATCTTCTTCTTCAGTCAGTTTCACATAGAATGAGAAGTGACTGTCTAGGAAGGAGTACTGAAGAAAAGGATCAAGGGGTCATAGTGGACCACAAGCTAAATATGAATCAACAATGTGACACTGAGGAAAAAAAACAAACATGATTCTGGGATGCTTTAACAGGATTGTTGTGAGCAAGACACAAGAAGCAATTCTTCCACTCTACTCTGTGCTGCTAAGGCCTCAACTGGAGTATTGTGTCCAGTTCGGAACACCACATTTCACAAAAGATATGGAGAAATTGGAGAGGGTCCAGAGAAGAGCAACAAAAATGATAAAAGGTGTAGAAAACATGATCTATGCTAGAAGATTAAAAGAAGTAGGTTTATATAGTTTGGAAAAGGGAAGACAGAGAAGGGACATGATAGCAGTTTTCAAGTAGAAGAAGGAGGGGAAAAAATTGTTCTGCTTGACTTCTCATGATGGAGCAAGAATCAATGAGCTTAAATTACAGTAAGGAGGGTTTAAGTTGGTTATTAAGAAAAACTTCCTAACTTTCAGGGTGGTTAAACACTAGAATAAATTGCCTAGGGAGATTGTGGAATCTCCATCATTGGGATATTTAAGAGCAAATTCTATCAGGGATGATCTAGATCTGTGGTGTCCAACATGCTAGCCACTAGCCACATGTGGCTAATTTAGCTGGTTGTGTGTGGCTAAATGGCTTGAACAGTGTGGTTATTTGAGTGTGGCTAGTTTGCTATAGCAGTAGCCACTATAGTGACTACTACTTCAGAACTGGTTGGACATCCCCGACTTAGATGGTGCTTGGTCCTGCCATGAAAGCAGGGGAGTGGACTTGATGACCTCTTGTGCTCCCTTCCAGTTTTATGATCCTTGTCCTTTGCTCAATTGGTTCACTGTCATTCAGGTGTTTGGAATCTCTGGGTCCAGTGGCAAGGTACTTCCATATACCACAATAATTTGAGGATATTAAAAGGTCCCCAGAAACTCTTACTCCTCACCTTGACCAGCTGCAACATTAGCAAGGACATATCTTCACAGCAACAGAAAATATCAAGGGATGACTTCATCATAGTTTATAAATACCTACACGTGGAACAAAATTTTGATTATAAACTTTTCAGTCTAGCAGATTCAGTCTAGAAGGTATAACAAGATAAAGTAACTAAAAGATGAAACTAGACCAATTCATACTGAGAAATAACGCAGAAGTGGGTTTTTTAAAAACGGTAGGGGAAATTAACCATTTGAACAACTTATGAAGGATTGTGGTAGATTCTACATCAGTGGCAATTTTAAAATTTAGATTGGATCTTTTTCTATAAGTTACACTATAATACAAACATTAATTCAGGAAAGGTCAATAGCCTGTATTATGCAGGTGGTCAGATTAGAAGATGACGGTGGCCTTATAGTTTGGTCTACATGTAAATCACAATTTTAATTTTTAGAAAATTCACTACAGTGTAAATGGTAAAGTATTTGATTTCATGGAGATTGTAGGAAATAATTTTACAAGCACATTTAGTCAATTTCAAGGATAGAATGACCTTTACAAGTAACATTAGTTTAAAAGATGGAATGAAACTGACTAACATTACTTATAAAGTAACACACTAGGAGCTGCATTTTTTTCTCATCCCTACCAAGTGCCCCTTTCCAATACTCCTATATCCTCCAGACCTTTGCTCTGTCTCTTTTTCCTTCCCACACTATGCACTTCTTCTATATTCCTCCCCCTTTGACAAAAGTTGAAATTCAGCTCACTCCATAAAAAATAAATACAAGCAGCTTTAGTTTTTCAGTGTAAAATTTCTTTTTCTTTGTGTTAATCCCATCAAATGGTATACAGTTCCTCTTTCTCCAAGGTATTATGCTCCATGCCATATTCTCCCAACATAAAAACATGTTTTCCTTTATAGCATCTCACCATCTCTTGGGCAGCTTCTCTTGCCTTTTTCCTTCAGTCTTAATATGATGAACTCTCTTCTGACATAGTAGCTAGGACTGCATTTACATGTCCAAGTCATGTGAATCAGTACTCACTCATTTTTTCTCATTTATGAGTATTGAGCATGTACTGGTATATTTATATTATTTGCTGAATAGTATTACTGTCAAATTGCTCTAACATACTCATTTCTTACATGGTCATTCTTGCTGCTGCTTCAAGTGATTGCTCATGTGCATTCCAACTTGGGTGTGTGTGTGCCATGCACTCACTGTTCCCAGGAAGGGTTTTTCCCTATGGGTATGTCTACACTACAGTGTTATTTCGAAATATCTTATTTTGAAATAGCTTATTTAGAAATAACGCGTCTATACACAAAATGCATTTTGAAATAGCGTTTTGCTAGTTCGAAATAGTGCATCCGTACTGAGTGGACTCTGAATCGCATTTAAGCCTGGCTGGAACCAGTTCTGGCAGGGCACCAAGTGAGGACTTACTGTGTGGGGCTGCTGCCTGAGGCTATATGAGGTCTGTGCTTAACAGGATCCCCTCCCTTTAATACACACTTGCTAGAATCTTACCTGCCGGGATCTCAGAACTCTCTGGCTGACAAACTCAGGTGCTCATTCATGCTCATGAGTCGTCTCTCAGATGGGAGGTTGTGCAGTGGCTTTTCAAGAGGAGGGGTTGTCCCTGGATGGACCTCTTTGCAACACGGGAGAACAGGAAGTGTCAGGCCTACCTAGGCAGCAGCAAGGGCTCCCTAGACAATGCCTTCCAAATTCACTGGGGGAAGGGGTTCTGTATCCATTTCCCCCCTTCCTTTTAATTCACAGGGTGTTGATCAAGGTTGGCAAGGACAGTGCAGCATGGCCCAGACAACATTGGCATACAAGGCTCCATCAAGTGTCAGTGGCACTTCCTGATGGCCTGGAGGTTCCATGGTTGAGTGCATTGGAGCAAGTGTTGGGAGGGAGTGAGGACAATGTTGCTGGCTAGTAGGAAGCCTTCTAAGCTGGCCACATATGCTTCCAAATGGAAGAGTTTTGCTTGTGAACCCTACAGCAGGGCACCAGCCATGACAGACTTTGGTTCCCCTCATTCTAGAATACCTGGTGGGTTAGAAACAACAGAGGCTTGCTACTTCCTCCATTAAGGATCATCTGGCCGCAATATCAGTGTTTATTGGTCATTCAGTATTTGTGGACCATTTTGTGGGCCAGTTCCTTAAAGGCCTGGACAGGTTATCCGATAGTCGAGGGATTAATCAACTAGTTGCTTCCCCACCCTCCTGTCTCTATCAGAGGCAGCAAGAGCAGGAACTGGTACCTGGGGGAGCCAACTTAAAAGCCAGTTCCCCCCAGCACCATCCATGGGAGGCAGGGGGGGTAGGGGAGACCAGGGGCGAGCCAGGAATTGGCTGATTCCTGGCTCATGCCTAGTCTGTCACACCTTTGCTTTTTAAGTGTATAGGCTTTTCATCCATTTAAAATGCTAAAGCAGGAGGGACCCAGTGCAAGCCGGGAATCAGCTGTCCTAGCTGACGCTGGGTTCCTCTTGCTGACTAGCTGTGACGTAGTGGGGGTCCCTGGCTGGTTTCTAGGCTGCTGGCTCTGGGGTACCCCCCCCGGGCTGCCGTGGGTACCACGACCCAGCAAAACAGGATGAGTCACTATGCAAACCAGTATGGCCAGACACCCCCCCATGGAGAGGAACAAAGGAAGGTGGAATGCTGCCCTGGCTGGGGGGCAGGGCTGGAAGAAGGTGAGTTAGTTGCTGTCTGAGAGCATGGAGGAGACAGCCTACGGAAAGGGGCTGGAGTTTAGGGGCCCAGTCTCCCCCATCTCAAGGGGGCCTGAGGCATCCTAGCCCAGCTCTGTGACCAGATTACATCTGTGCTGTGCTGTATCCTGGAGAGGCAATAAACTTCCTCTATTCCACCGGCTGGTGCAGTCTGTTTGTGCCATTTCGGGGTGCAGGAGACGGGGGACCCCCAACGCGCCGTCACACTAGCTGTTTAAAAGATGAAGAGCCAAGGGCTCTTAATCCATTTAAAAGGCTGGTGTGCAGTAGGAGGGGCCCTGCGTGAGCCGAGAATCAGCTTTCCCGGCTCATGCTGAGTCCCTCCTGCTGCACTTTACCCTTTTAAATGGATTTAAGAGATGACAGGGTCTTTAATCCATTTAAAAGGCAGAGCTGGAGTGGGGTTAGCTCCAAGGCAGGAGCTAACCCCTCTGTGGCTAATCGATAAGTTGATTAAACTAAATTTAACATTCCTAGGACCAAAATGGCTTCAACATCACTGAAAGCAAATTTAAGGTAGAAGCTTTTTTTGGGAATAGGGACTATTTTTTTTCTTGTCTGTAAAATGTGATACCTAATTATGATGTTTGTACAAATAACTATTTCCCTTCCCTTGTTCCTTAATACTTGTGAAGTATACGTGGAAACAAGATCTTGGTTTCTCAATGTATCTGTTCTTCAGGATGTTTCAGAAAGTCACATGCCAGTTTGATAAGTCATTTCCAAAGCAATCAGTCGTGATGGCACAAAAGAGCATAAACCAAGAACACCGATCTTAAATATTTAAATATATATTTAAATATCACTAAACAGAAGCTCAAATGCAACTTTAATCTTCGTCATATATTTATGATCCATAGCACACTAACTCTGCTGGCTTGTCTGCCCAAATTGCAAGTCTTCCATGAGATATGTAGTAATAAAGTACTGCATACAGTGAGGGCATAGAAAATGGTGCAGTGAAAACATAAAATAGTACATAAGGAAACTTAGTCTTATTGTGGAAGTATAGTTTTGTTCTTGGTCATTATATTTGATATTTTATTTTGAACATTAACCAGTGAAAAAAGAAAAAAACTGCATATAGAGATGTTAATATTGCACGGCTAGCCACTCAGATATCCGGAAATGGCAGAGTTAAACTTGAGCATGCATTTGGGTTGGTATACAAAATAAACCATCAGTGTCTATCTACAGAGGAAGTCGGTACAAGATATGAGGAAAATTATAAAGAAGTGTTCTGACTAGATTTGTTGTTTTTGTTTATATTTGCTTCTTTTCACTTCTTTTATCTGTTTGAAGGCTTTGTTTGTCAGAGGTTTTTCTCTCCTTGCATTCTTCATGCCACACCTTTGCATTCCCTACAAAGTACACATGCCAAGTAATAGAAAGCACTGCAGTAAAATATTTCATGTAAAAATTTGATTGTTTACTTTCCAAGAAAAAGTAGTGTGAGTGGCATTAAATTTATCTAAGCTTTAATTTCTGTGTCTCTAGTTTCTTAGTGCAATGTATGTTTTAATATTCACAAACTAGAGATGTCTCTTCTAGATTTTAAGAGTATGTGATTCTTCAATTCACTATTTATCGATTTTAAAAATGTGATGACCTTTTACTAATACCCAAGTTCCATTTTATGAAATTCTCCAATTTTAAAACATATATAACATTTTATTTCATTTACCTTTTAGGCATCTATCTCAAGATCAGTCCCTATGCCACTGTCAAATATTTCAGTGCCAAAATCAGCTGTTTCACGCGTGCCGTGCAATGTAGAAGGAATAAGCCCTGAATTAGAGAAAGTATTCATTAAAGAAAATAGTGGAAAAGAAGATGTATCCAAGGTAAGGTTTAGGGGTGTATTTACATGTTTAATTATCAGAATTTAGTAGTTTGCACAAAACTTCTAAATGATTGAAGCATCATGGCTTTAAGTCTAGGATTGACTTGACAATTTTCTGTTACATTTTATTTTGCCAAAACCATAGAAAAAGTTTTCTTTTTGGAAAAAAATATCTGCTTTCTACAGAAAACTTTAGCTTTTCATTAAAAACCCAAATTTCTGAAAAACAAAATATTTCCATTTCGTGCTGCTGTGGTATTTGGTGAGAGCTGTAGTTCGATTACCTTTCTGTCCCCCTTCTCGTTTGATGACTAGGCTCCAGAACTGGACTTCATCTTGGTGTTTCATCTGTCCTCACCAAGAGAGGAGACTGTGGTGAATTATGAGAGATATAGACCAGCTAGTGATACTGCTTATAGAAGAGAATAGGAACAAAATATACATTCATGACGTGCACCACGGCAGCATTTCAGAACTGAATTATTTCACTGAAAGGAAAATATTTTACTTTTGGTTCTCCACCAAGGGAGGAAAATATTTTCTGATTAACTCTAGTCATGGTAAAGCTTTAGTATCTGGTTTTGCAAAAGTTCATACAGTGGTTTATGTACATGAGTTTTGAGATGCCAAAAGCTGATATTTATGTTACTTCATTATGGTGTTAGAACACAAAAAATGGTAAAATAATCCTACCTTGTCCAGAGGCATTAAATCTGGTCTTCCAAGGCTCGAGTTTTCTATTTAGAAGTGGTATTTTGACAGCATTTGAAAAATCCGAGAAACAATAAACATAGTCTTATTGCTGTCTTTTATAGTTAGAGACCTAGAAATACATGGATAGCCACTTTATATCTATGGGTATCCGCATCTGTGGTTGTGGATGCAAATATCTGTAGCTTATTTTTGTGGATATGGATGTAGATGCAATACTTTTTTTTAAATCTAAAACCCTACAAATGTGTAGATACCCACATTATATCTGCAGATATCTGCATCTACAGATGCCTATGTGTATATCTGCGACTCATTTATGTGGGTAGAGATGTGGATGCAGAAACAAATTTTGTATCTGTGCAGGGCTCTATCTGTAGTCTGTATTACAGTGCCATTGCTGATGTCACCTTGGTTAGAGTTGTGATCTTTGAAATTTATGACCTCTGGTTTTATCAGACTAATCAATATTCTTGGAGTCTGACATCTTCTTATTGTACATGATGCACTCAACAATGTAAGTTGTTTGAATGCTCTGCCTCTGATCCAGCAAAGCAGTTAAGTACATACTTAAACGTTTGCTGGATTGGAGCCAGAGAACTCAGCATTTTACAAGATCAAATAAGTGAACCTCACTTCATAAGAGCGTGATAGATCTAGTGTTTCTTTTTTGTGTCCAAAGAATCATAAGTTAGAGATCTGACCTATTATATCTAGCTGAGCCTTTTGCCAGGGGAGATTTTAGTATTACACAAGACAGTTTCTTGTGTTTTTATGCACAAGAAATATAATATAAAATATCCCAAGGACTGACCTTCCATCACTTTCATGCAAATATTACTAAATAGCTTAAGAGATCTCACTGTTGGGAAGCGCACACTCACTCACACTCACACTTACTCTCTCTCGCTTATAGTTTATATTTGTCTCTTCATTTAATAGTTATACCCTCTTAAATTAACTTAAATAACTCTTCTCCATTTTCATTTATGGGCTTCAAAGTAAAAATTTGAAATAATATCCTGGGGTGCCTTTGGGAGAAGTTTGTCTACTAGGTGGACAAATATTTCTATAATGTTGTGATAACTCCACTACCCAGCCTAGTTATCTAGCCAAGTAATAATTCTTAATATTTGTTTGTATGTCAGTGCCTCCAGCTCCCTAATACATTTTGTTGCTCTACAGTGAATGTCAGTGTGTGTGTGTGTGTGTGTGTGTGTGTGTTTTTTTTTTTTTGTAGTGAAGGTATTAAAACTGAAGTAAATATTATAGGTGCAGTTGCACCAGAGCCATGTTAAGGATGACTGTCATTTTTTTGCTCTATAATGTCTTTATTTGCTGCTCACGGTTGCATATTCATGTCTACTTGGTTGTCCATTGTCATTTCTAAGTTTGAGCACTACTGCTTCACAAATTCTCTCTCCTGTTAGATAACTACCTTTTGGATTCTTTTCCCTTAAATATTATACAATGCATTTTATTTTTTGTAGTTTCTGATTTTTAGAAGTCTTCTTGTATGGTTTTTGTCATTTCCCCCATCTCCCAATTTATCTGTGAATTTTTTGAATGAGCTTTTAATTCAATTTTTAGATTGTTAATGAACTTCAAATAAGATTGGATACAATGTAGGACCAAATTAAGCACTGGAGTACATGAATGCAACTTCATTGACTTCAGCTGAAATTTAATCCACAGGTTTAGTTGGTAATCTATTAAATTTCTCCCCCAATTTGATACCTTGATATTTATCATTATATTCTGTTTACAGTCTTTCAGAAGGCTTTTTCAATATATGTGAATCTTCACGCGAATCAGGTTTGAATTAAGACTTCCGTATGCAGAATGTGCTTTATTAGCACACAAATACATTCTTTTCTACTTTCCTTGTAACAACTTAATTTTGTAAGTGTATTTTTTTAAATAAACAGTTATGTTTACAAGATATATTCTGTATCCCCATGCTGACTATTTGCTCTTGACTCTCTAGAAGCTAGAAATATTTTCTCTCATTTATTTCATATTTTTTTAACTAGGGGTAGAAATTAGACTTGTAGGATAATAATTGCTAGGATACTCACACTATGTATTTATATTCTCAAAATAATTGTTAAAGGCACAGTAACTTTTTATTAGCTAATTCCTTTACTATTCCAGCAGAATATAGTTTGAATGGTGGCAAACTTGTATATTTTCAAATAATCCCTTTCCTTCTCTTTAGTAATATGCATATTTTAAATATTTACATCTCTTTAAAGATCTCTCAACTCTTCCTTTTTTCTTGTTAAAACAGTTAAATATTAACTGTTTAAGTCCTTGTTAATATCCTTTCCTTATTTATTTAATGGACTTAATTTCTTCCTACTATTGCTTCCTTTCTTAATACATGTATGAAAGCCCTCTGTATTCTTCTTAGCTGTTGTTGATTCTCCCCCCAACCTTTTGTCTAGCACTAACCTATTTTCCTTTTTGCTGTCTCTTGCCAGTAACCCTTAGTTCTAGTCTTCTTTAGTTGCTCTTCTTTACATTCATACTATGAACCGTGATCACTTTCCTCATGAAGCCATGTGTGTGGCTTTGGAGGGTGGATTTTATTCTCAGTTTGCAGTTGATTTACAGATGTGTTTGCAGTGACTGAAGGAGGAGTGTTGGATTTCATGTAGATGGAAACCATGTTCAACCCCTCATGTTTGACGTACGGAAAAACACAGGTGTCCAGTTGCAGTGTTCAACCAATAGACAAATGCCCAGGAGCTGGGCACTTAATTTTTTTTCTGTGCATTAAGTGTAAATGAACAAATTTTATCCAAACTTTTTTACATAAGCCTTTTAAAAATAGAATTTAGCTGTGACACTATTAAAAAGCCATCCTAAAAAAGATTAGCCATTTAAGTGTTCACTTTAACCATGTATTTTGTTTAACTTCCTAATACTTCTGCAGTAAGAGAGTAAGCTAGTTTGTGTGTCTTGTTCTAAGTCCTGTATTAACGAGGTTTACAGGATCGGTCGGAAAAGGCTTTTCTTGTTGACTGATCCCCGTCTAGACTGCCGCTTTTTGCCGGCAAAGTGCCATGTCGGCAAAAAGCAGTGGCCATTTCTATTCAAATGAAGCATGGGATATTTAAATTCCCACTTCATTTGCAATAGTGATGTACCTAATCTACATCCCTCTTTTGGCAGAGGTGTATAGTTTAGACACACCCATATTGTTTACTTTCTCGGCTGTTATAAGGGAAAGCACTGTTTGTATCTTGTCTCTGCCAGTACATTACAGCCTGGGTGGTGTTTTTAAATAGAAAAAATTCTAATTTTATGAGATTGAAATATTAGTTTTGTAAATAACGATAAAATACATGGAAACTAGATCCCTTGTGCCTATTATGGGTATATTGCATCTCAGTAACATTAATGCTCAGACTTTACGTGGTTTCTTTAAAAAATGAAGACTACCACTGTGAGTAGTTTATTGGTGCATTTTAATGGAGTTCCTTCAAACAGGCATGCTTCTATCAGATTGGCCATGTCTGTATCTCTGCCTAAGGGTCTTGTTGCAAGAAAGAAAGGGAGACAAATAGCTATCTATCTCATGTCATCTTCTGGGTGTAGCTATTATTCTGTCAGTATTCAAAAGGCTAACACAAATGACTCAATACTTTTACTAAAAACATACACAGTACAGAAAATAGTATGTAATTTTCCATAAATTTATCATACGAAGTAACAGCAGCTGTTGTGAATTAATTACTTTATTGCTTCAGTGAAGACCTCAATTTTTAACATACTCTATAAACTTTAGATATGGTTCATGGAAAGTAATTTTGAAATATATAATTCAAATGTTAAAAGCAATTCAGGCTATTTTTCAATTTTAATGGCAGAATGTAAATACTTCTTCGCATAAGACACAATATTAAAGTGAAAATTTACAGTTAGTATTTTGACAGGCATTTTAAAATTGCATTCTTCTTCGAGTGGTTGCTCATGTCCATTCAAAGTAGGTATGTGCACCGCGTGCACCGCATCTTCCGGATCGTTTTCCCTAGCGGTACCTGTAGCGCCGGCAGGGTGCCCTCTGGAGTGGCGCCGCCATAGCGGAGCATAAGTACCCCTGCCGGCGCTGCCCCACCTCAGTTCCTTCTTACCGCAGCGACGGTCGTTGGAGCGTCTCCATATCTCCCAGCCTACTTAGTTAGTTAATGGTTCCCGTTTTCACATTCGTTTGTAAATAGTTCTCTCAGTTAGATAGTTAGGTTCTTTGCTTTGTTCCTTCCCCCTTGGGGGTAAGGAATGCCA